ACAATTTTCCATTTTTTAAAAAATAAATTAATGAAATACATAAACAAACAAACAACCAACATTAAAGATAATGACCAGCAAGATCAAAGGCATTTAGACAGCAAGAACCAAATGAACCAGCCATTTGGTTTTCAGCAGCTAACAATAGTTAACAACAATTTCACCAATACCACCGAAAAAGAACAATCATGGTATCTTATGCATGTGATCATCTATATATTGCTTTGGTAAACTAAACATAATCTACACTTTAATGACTAAACACTATTATATTTCTTCAAGTATGAACGTTCCTCCTTTATCAATAGGCAGTTACATTGTTCGTCCGATTTCGTTTACGATACTTCGGCACCGACCCTGTGTTTCGTTACGCAAAACCCTTCACCATCTTTAACATACCAACACATAAAGCCGCAGTACATTCTTTACCTGTAAAATCCTACCATGAAACATTTACATACATTAATTATTCATTATAGGACACAACTGAGGAAATCGTTTTAGCTTTCACAACTATGACAAGCTTTGATGTGTAAATAAAGTTACAATCCACTACAGTACATATGTAACTTCTAGCACAACAATGGTGGAATTCACGTATTATATGTACTATATGTGAGTAGTGGTTACATTATGATTATTATTTATTTATTTTTAGTTAGTTAAGGTTTGCCCTGAACTAAGCTGTGTTTCGAAGCCCTTCTAATTATAAGTGAATGTGTAGTTTGTCAGTAAAGGCTAACATTATGTTACAATACATGGAAGAGACTCTAGAAAAATAATGTGTAACTGGTAGCTGGAGGTGATTTTGTTTATCTGCTCCTGAATTTATTTATTTTATTTTTTTTCATCTGGACAGAGCTGGATCATTCCTATTATGCAGTATGCATATGAAGTTTTCTTCATATTTAATATGAGATAAAACATTTTTAAAGACACTCTTAAAAGAAACGAATTAGTTTTCTTTGATCATAATATCACGATTAAGATTAACGATTAACACATTGTCATGATTTCAAGTACTAAATTCCAAAATTAAACAGGTAATTTATTAAGAAAATATATATTTTTTTCTGATTAAAATTTTAATTGGGAGTGTTTTTATTTATAAATTCATAATTTATTAATTTTTTTGGAAATTCCTTTTAAGGAAAGTAGTTGACATCATCATGCAGGAAGTGGCATCATTTTGGTGAGAAAACAAAAATTCAAACATTAGTACAGCAAAAGGATTCCTAAGCAATGACGAATTGTTATTTCTGTGGTATTTTGTTGGTGAGTTGGTTTGTCACCCTCTTATAGAAGTCAGCATATCAACATTTCAACATCATCAACACAAAAAAAAAAAAAAAAAAACCTGCCTGAAAATAAGCGATAACTAACTATAACATAGCAAAAATTATTTTTTGAAGTTGTAATTGAAACAAAGATTATTGGCGTAAGTTTTACAAGAAAACAGTCGTCCTACTTCTAACTTTCATGTTTATTTACATTTTAATTCATGTTTAATTTCACATTTAATTCAGTTCAATTAAAGTTACTTGCCGATTTGTTTTGTGATTATTTGTAAAATTTACTAGCAATTTCTAAAAGAAAAGTAAAAGTTACAAAGCAACATTTTTCAGTGCATGTTGGAATTCGTTTTACAAATGTAAAGAAGACCGCACAACTTTTGCAAATAAATGCAATATTTTTTCAGACATGACCTTTTAAAGGTTCCATATCATCCTGTAACCTATTTCCTGATTTTTGATGGTGTAAATCACAAAGTTATAATTCATACATTTTAAGTGCCCGAGTTTTACCAGAACATATTTCAGAAAGTCTAGCTTATCCTTTTATAGCAATGCAATCATGCATTTTTGAGAAAGTTCAAATGTACTGCATAAGAAGAATGACCCATGCGTTCCTGTCCCTGATGTTCATACATAGGGCTGAATGCTGTAAGCTCTTACGATCACAATGATCAAACTACATCCATTATATTACAATCAACAGCGAGCCCCAACCTCAAGTGCTCTTAGTTTTTGGTCACAAGTTGTCCAATAAACAGGCTTACAACATTACCCAAAATTTGCGTGAATGCAGAATTGTACAATGCAAATTTTGCAAATCAATGCGTGTGCTCAGAATTAGTGGCTTAATGAGCATTTTCCACTTAGACGATTTCACTGAACAGTTGAAAATGTGTTAATGCAAATATACAGTATATAGCACCTAAGTGAAAAAGGAAAGACAAGAAAAAACACTCCTTAATCCTCTTAGTGTTTTAAGATTCTTATGCTTCTAACACGGTCAGATCACAACCAGCTCAACTATTAAAACAAATATTACACCATAAGGAATAGGCCTACGTCACCTCCATAGATTCAATGGCCAGCATTGATTGGACATTGTGCTTCACACAGAATGCTCATTTAGAGTGGCCTGTTTCATCTTCGCAAAATAGAAAAAAAAAGAAAATAATAGCTTTAAAAATAAAACGAGAGTACGGACTCAAGCAACAGCAGGGGACGTGCTCCAGAAACACCAGCGCCATCGTGAGTGATGTTTATTCAACACCACATCCTCCTTCTCTCTCTCCTTCTTCACCCGCTGATAGTGATCTTCCTCTTTCAGATACCAGACCGGAGGCCAGCGGTGCTTCTCAAAATATTCCTGGTTTTCTGCTTACATTATAACACAAGCCCAGAATGATATCAAGGGTGAGTGATATACAATAGAGCTCATGAAGCACAATGTGTCCTCTTAAAGGAACTGTTTGCCTAAAATTAAAAACTATGTGATTTTTACTTATTTACAAAAGGAAGAATAACATCACAGCAGGGTTAATTTAATATAAAAACCAAATTCATAAAAATAAATCGATACATGAAATAACCATTAGCTTAAGTAAAATTAAAAAAAAATAAAAAACAACCTGAATTTATTTTATTTCAGTTAGTTTTCAAGGCAACATATCTCATTAAATTGACTTGAAGTACTAAAATAACTAAATAAACAAATTAATAAATAAATCTTAATAATGAAAACTGTATTAAAATATAATATAAAATATGTTTAATATATAAACTATATTAAAATATAAATATTAAATAGACATATTTAAAAAAAAAACTAATAAAAATGAAAACAAAACAAAATGGAATAAAATTAGTGAAAGCAGAAAATCTAAATGTTCAAAATGTTAATAAAAGAGCAGCTTGAGAATTTTGCAAAAAATAAGAGAGATTGTTTTCTGCTTTCACTTTAATAAGTTAAAGTTTATTTATTTTGGCAACCAATAACCAATTTGGTTACAGCAAGGTTCCATTAGTTAACGGTAGTTAATGCATTAACTAACAATAAGCAGTACATTTGATACATTATTTATTAAGCTTTGCTAATGTTAGTTAATAAAAATACAACTGTTTAATGTTATTCATGTTAATATTACCATTATTTAATACAACTTTTATTAATTATTTAATTATTCAACTTTTGATTTTAGTAATGTATTAATAAATGTTAAAATTAACATTTATTAAGATTAATAAATTGTTAGTTTTAAATGGTTGGTTATTTTTTTAGTTTATATGGAACCTTGTTGCATTATTTTTTCTTTTTTAAAGATGTTATATGTTATATTTTAATCGCAATATAGTGTGTGTGTGTGTGTGTGTGTGTGTGTGTGTGTGTGTGTGTGTGTGTGTGTGTGTGTGTGTGTGTGTGT